GTCCTGGGATCAAGCCCCGCATTGGGCTCCCTGCTCAGCGAGAGAGTCTGCTTCTCCTCCTTCCTTAGCCCCGCTCGTGCTCTCTCTCTCTCTCTTGCTCTCTCTCTCTCTCTCTCAAATAAATAAATAAAATCTTAAAAAAAAAAAAAAAGAAACCACCCTGAAATTGGTCCAAGAATGATGGGGCTGAGATTCTTCAACTACAAACCCCACCCACCCTCACACCTCCAAAGCAAGAGGCTCTTTGCACAGGGTCATGACGGCTCCCCATGTTTATATCACCTGGATGACAGTGTCTGCAGGAGGTACACCTCACAGAAACCACAACATCGTAGGCTCTCACTGAGATAGAGCTCTCACAGCTCTTCTGAAAAGTGTAACCCCTTGGCCACCGTGGGAGAGAAGAAAGCAGTTCGAAGGCTCTGAGGTGACCCCACACAAGTTTTTCCTGCCATCCCCAGAGGCCAAAAAAAAAAAAACCACCAAGAGGAGCTCAGGGCTCAGGGTCACCGTCAGCCAGAACCTCCTTGGAATCAGACTACAGGACTTAATGGGACAAGATTTGAAAACAAACAAAAAGACACAGTGTGGCCAATATAACTCCCAGAGACCTTGAGAAAAGCCAGCCGTTGCACCATGTTTAAAGACAGCCAGGTCCCAAGAAGGGGCAGCGAGAGGTGTAAGCAGATTGTGGCCTTCATTCCTCCAGTGATTCATTCATTCCCAGGCATCCTGTACCGGGCCGGGGGCACAGACATGAAACGTGGACAAGTCCCATTCTTAAGAAACCCACCTAAAGAAGCAGGCTAAGGGGAAAAGAGAAGTCGACGGGCAAGTGACATTATCCCCATCTTTATCAGTGCTTGCTTAGTGTCTGGGCAAGGCAAGCCTCAGTTTCCCCTCCCCACACTGCTGGTGCCGTCTCTGGCTTCGAAGCTCTTAAAGGGTGTGACCCTCTGCAGTGTCCCCAACCTTCCTTAACTCCAGCTCATTTAAGCAAGCTGTCCAGACACCCAGGGCAGAGTCTGATGGTCTGAGGCCAGCTAATTTGTCTCCACGGTTGAAAGGGCAACCATGCGTAAGGTTACGATCAGAGGAAAGCCCTCTGCTTGCGCAGCCTTGGGCTCGTGCCTGCCTCTGTGTGAATCTAAGGAGAAAGCGGCTTATCATTTCCAATCTGCATCAGGAAGGCAGTGTTGCGGGGAGGACGGAGCCCTGGGCCTCGGAGAAGGGCCTTCTACGGGGAGATTCTCGACAGCAGAGTGCTCTGCTGAGCACCCTCCTACGGAGGCCCGGGCACCCATGTGAGTCTCACAGAAGCACTTGAATGGGAGGTTCCTGTCGTCCTGGGCTCACAGGAAACAGGCAAAGTGCAGCCCTAATTTTAGTAGATACGGCCGCAGGCGGCTGTAGTCAAGAGGCGCGAGAGGAGCACCATAACGTGCTCATCCTCGGCGCCACACTCCTGACGGTGAGGTCTCTCATTCAGGCCTCCCCAACCCGGGGCCTGCCCCTCCAGGACAGCCCTTAGATGCCCCCTTCGCCCCCAACCTCGGCCTGCGTCGGGGAGGGTACTGCGGCGGCGGCCAGCTGCCCCTCGCGATGCGCTCTGGACTCCCGGTGCTCCGGGGCCCGGACCCAGGGCGCCGATCCCGGCTCCGGTTGTCCCGCCCGCCGGCTGCGCGCCCTCCTCGGCGCCCTGCGCCCTCCAGCCGCGACCGCGCGCGGGCCCCGGCCGGCGCCCCTCACCCACCTTGAGGACCTGCTGCTTGATGAGCGTGGGCACCACCACGATCATGACGGCTCCCAGCACGGCGCACAGCAGCCCAGTGAAGCCCAGCACGGCGGCCGCCCGGCGCGCTCTGGAGCGGCTGCCCATGTCTGCGCGCCCTGGCTCCCGCCCGGCGCTCCCGCGGCTCCGCGCCTGGGGGGGACGGGGACCGGGACACAGGCGACACAGGCGGCGACTCTGGGGACGCGGGCCGCA